GGTCGGGCTGCTCGCGGGTCGCCGCTCCGCCGGCGCGCGGCTGGCGCGGGGCTGGGCCCGGCCTTCCTGGTCTTCCCGGACGGCTGGTTTGGGGGTGCGGTCTGGGCGCCGCGTGAGGGTCCCTTCTGTGGGTGGAGCCCGGGTGCGAGGTCCCCGGCCAGGCCCGGGAGCTGCTGCGTGGCCGGCCGGCGTCTGCCGCGGTGGGGGCGCGGGCAGGCCGGGGCACGCCTTCCGCAGGGGCTGCCCGGGCCGCGTCCTCGCTCCCCGAAGCCCCCTTAACTGCTCTGCGGCTCCCCGGCCTCCAGCCCCGCCGGCGGCCGCCTGTCCCCAAGCCGGCTGGTTGCAGGCTAGGACTGCGTTAGAGAAGCCGGCGCACGAGGAATCGGAGCCGGGCGTGCGTCTCGCCCCCGTTCGGCTGCTCATTCGAACACTCGGGGAGATGAATGAAGCCCCTGGAAGCAGCGACCGCGTTTAGGGGAGCAGAGGGGGGCCAGGGCGCTGGGCCCTGCCGGGGAGTCCTCAGGTGTAGGCAGCACGCTAAAATGCGGGGATCGGCTTACATCTTGCGAGTGAGCTTGAAGGAGCGCTTCCGTCCTTACTCTACTCCGAACAAACGGTTCGCCTTTTGGAACAAATGACTTGAGGGTTGTGTTGGTTTCTTGTCCATCCTTGTGGTGGGCAGGTCCTTCCTGACACACGCTTTTTGTTGTTGTTGTTTGTTTATTTGGTTTTTGCTTCTGAGCAGATTATCTGGCAACAAGGCAGGACAAGTCTGGGCCCCCGAAGGATCCACTGCTTTCAAGTGTCTGCTCTCGGCCAGGCTGTCTGCTGCTCTGCTCAGCAACATCTCCGACTGCGACGAAACCTTCAACTACTGGGAGCCAGTAGGTGATGTTAGCTGTCGCTTTTTGTTCTTGAATTTTCTTTTGTCTCATGAAACTTATAGCTAGACAAGATACAAGCAATATGCATATGTGGCTACTAGTAAAACAACTGTTTTCGCTTTTAATTCCTAAAAGTTACGATTTATGTACTATTGAAGGCTGTAGGAAATTTTGCTGGTTGGGTCAAAGGTGTGGAGAAAGTTTTAACAGTTAACAATTACCATAAAGGAAAAATACCTCCTTGTACTTTTCAGGTCTAAATCCTACTTCCAAGAAGCACCCACTTTCTTTCAGGGCTTTGTCCTGAGGTTTTTTAAAATGGTGCAGCTACTCTTATTTTTATTTTTGATTTAGAATTTTGACTTGATTTAGAATTCAAGAAGTAAAATTTTCATGTAACATTTTAAAAAATATATTTAGTACAGGGTCTCACTACACAGGTCAGACTCTTAGTGATCCTCCCAAGCACTGAGATTACAGGCACCTGCCACCATGCCCGGTCTCATTCACTGCGGGGGAGGGAGGTATGGCCTGACGGGAATCGAACCTGGTCCCTGCGTCTGCCTAAGCAGGCGCTTTAATCCGCTGAGCTATATGGCCAGCCCTCATATAACATTTTACATCAAAAATGGAGAAATCATTAGTGTGGGTATATAAAACTTATTAGAGTTATATTTTTTAAATTTTAGCTAAAAGGTTTTTTTTTTCCCTCTCTTTTTTTTTTTTTTTTTTTTTTTTGAAATTTATCTTTATTTTTTTTTTTTGCGGAACTGGGGATTGAACTCAGGCTCTTGCACTTGCCAGGGAAGCGCTTATTCCCCTGAGCCATCTCCCCAGCCCTAGCTTTTTCTTTTTTCAAGACGGGTTCTTCAAATGTAGTTGAGGCTGGCCTTCAACTTGGTAGCCCAGCTGGCCTCAAACACAGTGATCCTCCTACCTCAGCTTCCCAAGTGCTGGGACTGTAGACATGCACTACCACACTCAGCCAGGGCTCTTTAAAAGTAAGGAAAGGGTAGAATTTGAAGCTTCGGTATTGACAAACAAAAATCTTACAGAACCTATAGTATCTTAATTTTTTGACATCGGGTCATTTTGATTCTTTTCTTATCTATTAGTTGCAAAAGTTGAGAAATTTTTACCATTTTTGTATATTTTATCTCCTTAATGTCTTACCCAGAATCTTAACCTGTGTCCTCATAAGAGAATTTTTGGGCAGTTAATTTATTTTGGTTTTTGAGACAGTGTCTCAGTTGTGTAGTTCAGGCTTCCTGGAACTCATTATGTAACCCAGGCGGTCTTGAACCTACAGTGATTCTCCTGCCTCAGCCTCTCACATGTTGGAATCACGGGTGTGCATCATCACGCCTGGTGGGCAGTTATAACTCTGAATCCATCTGTTTGGTTTTTTAGACACACTACCTCATCTATGGGAAAGGTTTTCAGACTTGGGAATATTCCCCTGAATATGCCATCCGCTCCTATGCTTACCTTTTGCTGCATGCCTGGCCAGCTGCATTTCATGCAAGAATTCTACAAACCAACAAGGTAAGGACAGGGACACCTGAGAGCAGTCACAGTTGGTCAAACGATAAATCCCTGGAACAACTTTGAAAACAGAACAAAACAGATTGGGAGCTTGAGAATTTGTTTGCTTTTTCGATACACAGTCTTACTATGTAGTCCAGGCTGGGCTCAGGTTGGGGATATAGCTCAGTGGCATAAGTGCCTGCCTGGCAAGCACAGGCCCGAAGTTCAAACCTTGGTACTTGAAAACAAAAACAAAAACCTCATGGGCTCAGGTGATCTCCCCAACTCAGCCTCCTTAAAGAGCTGGGACTACAGGAACAGACCATTATGCCCAGTGAAGAGGGTACTTTTTTAAAGAATTGTTCATTCATTTATTGTTAAATGTATATTTGCATTTATTTATATTTACATTTGACTTTGTTACATATTTTATATTCAACTTTCTTGTATATATTATAACACGTAATTTACAAATTTTCTCTTCTAAGAAGGTTGAATTTTTGTTTTCCTGTTATCAATTTTTTTTTTCTCCTTCAGTACTGGAGATTGAACTCAGGACCTTGCACTTGCCAGGCAAGCGCTTATTCTACTGTGCTATCTCCCTGCCTTTGTTTTCCTGTTATTTAAATAAGACAAATTGAATCTTTTTTCTAACTAAAAACAAAATTCAAAAGTATTGACTACATGTCAGCCAAGAGCAAATCAATATAATGGAAACCAGATAAATTATACAGAAAACCATAAAAATAAGCATCTTCAGGAGATCTGAGAAATTCATAAAACTTTTAAGACTGATCAGACACAAAAATGTTTTAGGACAAATTATCTTAAGTGAGAGAAGTAATGTTACTATAGAATATGTTACAAAGTGAACAATAAACATTATGAATTTATCAATTAAATTTAAAATTTTAGATTAACTATGTCAACTCTTTGGGAAATAAATATCAACACTTCCAGAAAAATAGATTCTCAGATGAGTGTTGTACCCACTAAAGTAATTGGAATTGTGGTAAACAATAACAAAAACATAACAGAAAAAATAACAGAAAAAATTTTCTGATACAGTTCACAGACGGCTTCACTGGTTAATTTTGTTAGATACTGAACAAAGTATATCAATTCCAAGAACATTCTTCCAGTGTAGTTGAGGCTGGCCTCAAACTCAGTTACCCTCCTGCTTCAGCTTCCCAAGTGCTTGAATTATAGACGTATACTACTGCACCCAGCCAGGGTTTCTTAAAGTAATGGACTCAGTCCGGTCCATTCCCATGGTTGAGGTAGAGACATGCTTTGGCTGGAGTGTTTTCATTATGTTAATGTAATGTAATTTAATTACATTAACAGCAGCATTTATTTAGTAGGCATTGTGTTAAGCAACCCCGCCATCAACAGTGGCCAAGTCCCTGCCTTAATGAAACTTAGGTCTAGTGGGGAAGATGGACATCAAACAAGTAATTTAAATGCAATGAATCTTTTGGCAGGTGTGAGGAGTAGTGTGATAATCAGTGGTACAGACTATTAAGACGGCCTAATTTAAGCTGTGTGCTGACGAATATTTAGAGTTCACAGCCTGGAGCGGCTGTGTACTTGGGAACATGGAGGCCAGCCTGGAGAACTTGGGAAAACCCTGTCTCAAAGTTTGAAAAGGTCTGAGGATGTAGCTCAGTGATAGAGTACCCCTTTAGCATGTACCAGGCCCTGTGTCAAATCCTAGTACTTCAAAATAGAACAAAAACCAAATAAATGTTAAATGGGACCTGACCTGATTACTTTTCACGATGTGGCTTTGTGTAGATTTTTTTTTGTTTACCTTGTTTTGAGTTTGCACAGCTTCTTGAATCTTTAGGGTTATGTCTTTTGCAAAATTAGATTTGTTTTTTTTTAGTTCTGTTTTGAGTAATTTTTTCATTTTGCTATTTCTCTTTTCCTTCTGATACTCTATGAGACTGCATTGTCCTTTTTTAAAAATCTGTTTTCTTTCTTGTTGTTCACAATGAGTAATTTCTATTTTCTGTCCTCCAGTGAAATGATTCCTCTGTCCAGTCCATTCCCAATGGTTGAGGTAGAGAAATGCTTTGGTTGGATTGTTTTCTTCTGTGCCTTTTGGCATTTCCAGTTGGTAGCTTCTTGAATTTCACTTTTTGGAGTATACAAGGCATAAAGAAGACCTACGGAGTTCTAGTTGTTGTTGTTTTTTAACAGAACCGGGGATTGAATTTAGGCCCGTGTGCTTGCCAGGCAAGCGCTTATTCTACTGAGCTATCTCCCCAGCCCCCCCCTTTTTTTTTCTTTTTTTATATAGGATTTCACTGTGTAGTTCAAGCTGATCTTGAACTTGCTATCCTCTTGCCTCGGCCTCCTGAGTTCTGGGGTTAGGTGTGTGCCACTATGGCTGGCACCCTTTATGTTCAGAGTTTTTGTTGTGCCTAGCAGGAAGATCAGGGGAGCAGAAATCCTTAGAGAACTGAAGGTGCTGTCTAGGTAAGAGAAGAATGGGGATGAGGAAGGAAGTTGGGAACAGCCACTGTTTTAATTACTTTCCTTATTGCCAAGACAAAATAACTGACACCCAAAATTAAAGGTGGAGAGGTGTATTTGCTCAGTTGTAGAGGTTTCAGTCCAAAGTTGGCTGGCTTTAAGGTGGGGCAGCATGGCAGAGGGCCGTCACAGAGGAGAAATAGTTCATGGTGGGCAGAAGGCAGCAAAGCAGCAGCAAGAGAGAAGCAACCACAGTAGCCGTCTTTGTCCCTTATATTTTATCCAGGCTACCTGCCTTAAGGAAGGTAGTACTCACACCCAGAGTGGAGCACTCTTAATCTTGCCTAGAACTATGCTAAACTAATCAGTACCCTAATTAAGTAATCACACTCTTGATCCCAGCATTATATACTTAATCCCAGCATCACACACTCTAGATCTCTAGATCTAGCCACCTCTGACAAGGCTCACCTATGACCAAATAAGTGTTGGAGGGGATATATAGGTACAACCCATAACATCTAGGCTGAAGGTCCTGAGGTTGGGAAGAAGTCCAGGATGGCTTTTTTTTCTCCTCTTCCTCTTTTTTTTTTAAGATATGATATTGAGGATTGAGCTCAGGGCCACACACTCGCCTATATCCCCAAGCCTTTATTACTCTTAATTTTTTTTTTAAATTTATTTATTTATTTATATGTGTGTGTGTGTGTCTGTGTGGCCAGCTCAGCCCACCAGGGGGCGAGGCTGGCTGGCATGTGGTGCTGGGGGATTGAACCGCGGTCCCTCTGCTTTGCCAAGCTTGTTCCAAGTAGGTGCTTTAGACCACTGAGCCATCTCACCAGCCCTCTTAATTTTTTTTAAAGACAAATTCTTCTTAAACTTGCCAGACTGGCCTTGAACTCATGATCCTCCTTTCTTTCCCTCCTATGTGTCTAGGAAGTAATTCCTTCTTGTGTAAATAGGTTTTATTTTTCAAAGAGAGAATGTCAAGGGTCAATTAGATGAGACTGAGAGGTGGAAAGTGTCCAGATATCTGTAAGACCTGGTAGACTCTATTAAATATTCTTTTTTTTTTTGTGGAATCAGGGGTTGAACTCAGGCCCTTGCGCTTGCCAGGCAAGCACTTATTCTACTGAGATATCTTCCTGGCCCCCTCTATTAAATATTCTTCCGCCCCCATTATATTATGAAGTCATCAAAAGGCTTTAGAAAGAAAAAAGACATACTTGCATTTGCATTGTATAATGATCAGAAAAGCATTTTTGGGAAGTCAAAGAATGCTGTTTCTCCTTTCCCTAACTAGTGTCTCATTTCTGGTTCTTTGAACTTGTCAGAGGAAAGCTAATATTGAATGAAGCACTCAGTAGAGAGCTAACAGTATGCAGTGCTGAGGGTTATTTCTACATGATCATTTATTCTGACCTTAAACTTGACATGTCCTAAGCAGAATTCTTCCTCTTGCGTGAGTAACATTCTTGTATCACTGATGTAAACAAGTAAAACAGAAAACTTCTCTTCTGTCCTTATGGCCAATTTCCTTTCCGTGTTAATTCCGCTAGTGAAATTCAGCAGAGAAGCACCGCCAAAGGAAGTCGTAGGTATAGAGTCCTAACCCCACGATCATAACAGTGAATAGCAGAGAAGACTGGGTTATTGCTGAGAGACAGTATGGTAATAATTGGCACCTCTAGTGATGGATAGATTACTTAGAGGTAGGTATTGGGAATTGAACCAAGTTACATCTCAACTCTTTTTAATTAAAAAAAAAAAAAATTGTTTAGAATCCTAAGCCTCAGTGTTGCCCAGGCTAAACTTGAACTTGCAATTCTCCTGTGTCAGCCTTCTAGAGTGCTCTTGGGATTATAGGCATATGTCACTGTGCCTGGCCTTCCCCAACTTTTTCTTTCTTTCTTTTTATTCATTTATGTATTTGGTACAGGGTCTCACTGCACAGCTAGGGCTTGTAGTAATCCTCCTGTTTTTCAGCCTCCCCAGTGCTGGGATTACAGGCGTGTGCCATCACACCTGGACCTGGTTGCTGGCTCAGTGTGCCCTGGGGGTGGGGCCTGCGGGGCATGTGGGACTAGGATCGAACCCAACACTTTCTATGCCTAATGAAAACACCTTTATATTGTCCCCTTCTGGGTGTGTGTGGATTTCATGCTCCAGAACGCCCAGGTCTCACACGTAGACCCTTTGCTCTCCGTATGACTGTACTGCTTCATATTCTGTGCAGCGGTGCCCAGGGTTCCAGCCACCTCATCTCTCCTAAGCACTGTGTTTCTGACTTTCTCATACAGTTGATGTTCTTCTCATTTTGACTGCATTTCTGTGGTCATTAGTGAGATGTGGAGCATTTCTTCCCATATTTATCCGTCATTCATATTTTCCTTCCTGTAATTTACCTGTCACATCTTTTATCCATTTTTCTATTGGATTTTCTGGTTTAGTGCAAGTTCTCACTAGCAATCCATAGGTTTTAAGTTTTTTTTTTTGTTTTTTTTTTTTTCAATTTTTATTTTAGGGTAGGGTCTAGAGGGTGTTCAGGGCCTCACTGCTAGATCGGACTTGTAGTGATCTGCCTGTTTACAGCCTTTCAAGAGCTGGGATTACTCCCAGAGCTGGGATTACAGGTGCGTGCCACCACAGGCAGGCTGGGGATCGAATCCCAGGCCCCTGCACCTGCTTTAATCCACTGACCTATTTGGCCAGCCCAATAATCCATGGATTTTAGATGCTGTATCAGATATCATTTGTTTAGACCTCTCTATTAACGTCGTGGTCCTTTGTTGAACAGAAATCTTTAATTTTGTTATAATCTGACTCATTCAAATTAGTTTTCCTCATATGGTTGGTGGATTTTGCATTTTTTTAAACAAAAAAAATTTTTTTTTCATTACAGGTCATTGAGATATTCTTTATTTTTTTCAGTTAGCTTTATAATTTTACCTTTTATTTTGGAGACTTGAAATTTATTTTATTTTATTTATTTATTGGATACAAGGTGTCAATAAACAGTTCAGACTCATACTGATCTTCCTGTTTTACCCTCCCCAGCTGGGATTACAGGTGTGCGCCACCACACCCAGTTTCAGGGCTGGGAGGGCTGGCATGGCATGTGGTACAGGGGGATTGAACTCAGGTCTTTGTGCTTTCCAGGCAGGCACTTAGACCACAGAGCTATCTCCCAGCCCCTTGAAGGTTTTTTTTTTTTTTTTTTTTAATAAAATGAAAAAGATCCATCTTTACTTTTTTCTATGCAATGAAATTAATTTTCTAGTACCATTCATTAAATAATCCATCCTTTTTCTCTGATTTGTAAGACTATCTCTGAATTACATCTTACATGTTTTCTGTTTTATTCATTATCATTAAGTAGTAGTATCTTGTTTTAATTATTAGTTTTTTTCTTTCCTGGGGAGGGGTACTCGGGGCCTTGCACTTGCCAGGCAAGCACTTACTCTACTGAGCTACCTCCCTGGCCCTAATTATTACAGTTTTAGGGTGTAAATAACTGATGCATGGATTTCTGTTTTGTCTTTTATAAGGTCTGTATTTAAAAATCATTTTAGAATTAGTCCTGCTAGGGCTGGCCAAATAGCTCAGTGGAGTAAAGCACCAGCAAGCAGGTGTGGGGGCCGGGGTGGGGGTGGGGTTCAATCCTCCACCTGCCTGCTGGCCCTGCCCTGGGGCATGCTGAGATGGCAGTTGAGACTGGGCGTGGTGGTGCCTCCTGTAATCCCAGCTCTTGGGAGGCTGTAAATAGGCGGAACACTGTGAGTCTGATCTAGTAGTAAGACCCTGAACACCCTGTAGACCCTTCCTTAAAAAACAACACAGAATTAGTCCTACTGGGTGTTTAGTAGAGTTGCATTGAATTTGCATACTAAATATGAGAATATTTTTACAGTGTTATAGTTACCTGAATGAAGTGATAAATTTAGGTTTTCTCTTTCGTAATAAAATTTTAGAGTAAAAATTAATTTTAATAAAATTTTAATCTGAGGCCAGGGATATAGCCCAGCAGCATAAGCACTTGCCTGTCAAGTGCGAGGTCCTAAGTTTGATCCCTGGTACTGCAAAAAAAAAAAAAAGTTAATCATCTGTCTTTGATAGATTAATGCTTAGAATGTTGTTTTTGTTCTAATTGTAAATGCTGTCTTGGATTTTGTTCTTTTAGTGGCATAGAAGCACATGATGGATTTTTTAAAAAGCTTAATATTGAAAATGACTAAAAAATATTGAATATGACTGAATTTCCTTATTAATGCCAGTGGTTTATCAGGTCAGTCCCTTGAATTAGCATCATCTGTGTATGTTTTTTAGTCCTTTAGTCCTTTTTTAATTCCTAAGGGAGCGCTCATCCATTCGTAGAGTGGAGCCCTCATGACCTAGTTAGCTTCCATTAGGTCACATGCCTTCTAGGCTCAACATCTTGACCTCGCCACACTAGGGATCCCACTTGCAGCACATGAGCTTCTGGTGGGCAAAGAGTATATCCAAGCCATAGCATTGTACTCGGTCTCCTCGGTTCTGTTCCTTAGACCTCATTTTTATGTGCTTTTGCATGGACTAGAACTATCAAATTACCTTGTCAAATATTAGTGGAGACGGGGGATATGGTTGTACTGTTCCCAAGTACATTGTTTATAAAAGTTCTTGTTAATTTTTAACTTTCTAAATGCTTATTTGGACTGTCTTATTAGATGAGGAGTCCTTAAACATAGACATTTATCTAAAGTATTCCTTGTAGCATCTGGAATAATAATCATACAGTAGTACACTCATTGTATAGTAGCTTTTCAGTATGTTAAATTAATGAATCAGGAATCAGTTTATTGAACTCATTTTGGGATGTGTTGGTTATAGGGTTGAATGCAGGCAATATTCCCAAATTATATGTATTTATGTAAATCATACTATGTAGTAGTGCTTATATTCTCTGAAATTTAATTCTTTTTTTGTGTTGTTGTTGTTGATTTGTTTGTTTGTTTTGAGATAGGATCTTGCGTGTGCTCCAAGCCAGTTTTGAGCTCACTATGTAGTTGAGAACTTGTCATTTTCCTGCTTCAGCCAAGTACTGGGGTTTTAGGTATGTGCCACCACACCTGGTTAATTCAGTGCTCATACATGATATTTTGTAGTATAAAAACATAAGCCTTACTATTTTTATTATATTAGTATCCTTAATTATAAAATTAATAATATTATATTATGGAATTGTAGAAGATAGGAAAAATACTTAGGAAGAAAAATCAGACTGTCACAGCTACTTTTACTGTTTTATTATGTTTCTTTTCAGTCTTTTCATATGCTTATAATCCATATAGCTGTGAGTTTGATGTAGAATACTGTATTGTATACTTTCAATTAGTATTTTGTAGCCATATTTTAAGCACTAGATCTGGTGGCACCTGTGTATAATCTCAGCACTCTGGGAGACTGAGGCAGGAGATCTCAAGTTCAAGTCTGCCTTGGGCAGTATAGTGACATAGACTTAGCAAAATACCAAAGAGTTAGCAAACATAAAGCTCTAGTGAGTGAGAAATTGTACATGTTGGTCACAAGGTGGGGAATTAATATCAAATTTTAAACATACCACATGCTGGCCATATCCCCCAGCATGCTGAGCCACTGAGTCCAGGTGTGGTAACAAAAAAAAAAATTGTTTTTAAGTGGCAGGGGACTTTAGCTCAGTGTGAAGGCCCTTGGGTTGTCCCAAGTATCATAGTGAAGAAAAATTCTGTATAATAGTCCATGTAATAGCATAATTTATTTTACAGTATGTATATAACAAGCTTTTTTTTTTTTTTTTTGTACTAGGGCTTGAACTTAGGACCTTGCACTTGCATTTTGTGGTTTTTAAAACAGTTTTTACTAAATAAGTCGGGCTGTGACTGACATTGTCATGTGTTCTCTCCTACCTCTTCCTTCCCGGAATGACAAAACTAGGTATACTAAGCCTAAGGATATGAAACTTTGTGTGATTTTGATACGTGCTGCTTTTATACCAGTTTATCATACAATTATTGTTGACAAAGGAGAGTAACTTCATCTTCATGAATTTTTGGAGGCTCCTATCTGTGACCTACATTTTCTTGTTCTGTATTTCTTTCAGATTCTTGTCTTTTATTTTTTGCGATGTCTTCTGGCTTTTGTGAGCTGTATTTGTGAACTTTATTTTTACAAGTGAGTATAAAAGTATTGGTTCTACAAGTACTAGGAACAAACTGAATATACTATAGATTATTTCTCTGACATGGTAGCAATTAGAAATAGAAAACTTTTTCCTTCTAGCTCCTGGTATTAGATGTGTAGTACAACTTCTTATTGAAAAATAATCAAAAAGGAATACTCCTAGTTATTTTCTTTCTTAAGGTTCATAAATATCAAATCATTAATTTTAATTCTGTTAATTCATGTCTAACTGGTCTTTACTTTGTAGGATTTAGTAGAACCTTATTTTTGACCCGAAGGTATAGTACAGGATTATTACTTTCAACTTAGAGCTTACCTAATGAGAAACTGTTCCCGAAATGGGACTCTGCCCCTGTTTGCACCAATACATGGTTTTTCACAAAAGAGTAATATGTTTTTGTTTGTTTTTGAGACAGGGTCCTGATAATGTAGTTTAGGCTGGCCTTGAGCTCGCTGTGTAGCCCTGGTTTCAAGCTCTCAGTAATCCTCCTGCCTCAGCCTTCAGAGTGCTGAGATTACAGGCATGTGCCACCATGCATAGTCTAGGTGACTGAATGTTAATGGAACTACTAGGCTCTCAACTGTTCCAGTAATAAAAGCAGCTATCTCTTTTGATATAGCACCTAACAAACATATTAATAATACATTAGTGAGTCTGGGCGCGGTGGCGCGCGCCTGTAATCCCAGCACTTGGGAGGCAGAAATCAGGAGGATCACTACTAATGTGGACTATGTGGTGAGACCCTGAGCAAAAAAAAAAAAAATACATTAGGGTACTACAGGGTTTTTGGACTTAGTGATCATTACTAAAAATCTCACCAAAAAAGTATTTTTTTTCCAGAGCAAGTATGTCAGAGGTCTAAAGCACCTACTTAGAACAAGCTAAGCTAAGCAAAGCACAGGGACCGCGGTTCAATCCCCCAGCACCACATGCCAGCCAGCCCCGCCCCCTGGTGGGCTGAGCTGGCCACACACACACTAAATAAATAAATAAATAAATAAAATTAAAAAAAAAAAAAAGAAATCAGCAACTTTGGCCCGTATGCTCGTGAAATGGAAACAAAACCAATGTTGCCTTTGACAGCTCTAACTGTATGTTGGTCTATATACTGCTTTTGCCTTAATTTCAAATCATCCACAGGATCCCCTGAGCCCCAAGTTCAAGATACTTTAAATTGCTGTGGGTTAGTAGTACCCCAAGTAATTTGTAAAATGTCCTCTAGAGAACTAGCATCTGAAGCAAAATACCAAAGAGTTAGCAGACATAAAGCTCTAGTGAGTGAGAAATTGTACATGTTGGTCACAAGGTGGGGAATTAATGAGGAAGGGAACAAGGTATGAGTGAGATCCAGTGGAAATATTAGTCAACAAAAGTCTGACCTGCAGAACTTCATTTATTAGGAATTATTAAAATGAGATTATAAAATGTTTAATACCTATAAAAAAATAAAAGATGGAACTGAAAATATGAAGACTACAAAAATGACCAGGCAAATTTGAAAAATCAGAAATTCTAAAAATGAAGATATTAAATATTACTGATTTCATGTACTATATAGTATATCATATTTAATAACTGCTTTCATAATATTAATTTTTAAAAATAGCTTAACTAGCAGGTTATATACAGTATGGTACAGAGTGAACAAATAGAAGATATAGATGAGGTTATGAAATGTAAATAGAAGTCTGGGTGTGGTGGCACACACCTGTAGTTCCAGCGCTTAGGTGGCTGAAAACAGGAGGATCTGTATAGTGAGACTCTGTAGACCCTGTACTAAATAATAAAAAGAAATGTAAATAGATTTGAAGATTTTTTTTTTTTTTTTTGCGGAACTGGGGATTGAACTCAGGCTCTTGTGTTTGCCAGGCAAGCACTTACTCTACTGAGCTATCTCCCTGGCCCCTAGATTTGAAGTCTTGATGTGTATTTAACCTGATTATAGAAGATAATACAGACGATAAAGACAGAATGTTCAGGAAAATAATAGCTGAGAATGTTCCAGCACTGATTGGATGGTAATCCATAGACTTGGTAAGTCTAACATGTTTCAACTTGGATGCCAAAAAGAAATTAGTGAAACTGTAAAATACCAGGGAAAGACTAGGGAGAGAGCTCAATAGCATAAATGCTTGCCTGGCAAGTGCAAGGGCCTGAGTTCACTCCCTGGTACTGAAAATTAAAAAAAAAAAAAAAAAAAAACGGGCAAAGAAAAAGATTGTAAAAATTGATAGAGAAGTAAAGGAATAGCTGAAGTGGAATATTATACTGACAAGACTTTTCAAGAGCCAGAAAGCTAGAAAAAAGAAAAAAGTGCCTTTGAAGTTCTAAGAGAAAAATCTCATCTTAAATTTGAATACTGAGCTAAACCATCTTTGTCAAGAGATAATTTTCAGTAAAAGGAAAAGAAAAAAAAAATCTGAGAATTTGTCATAATCAGATCAAATGACTTCTAAATGATATACTTAGAAAGAAGCAAATGTATTTTGTTGGGTTTTTTTTTGTTGTTTTGTTTTGGTGGAACCAGGGATTGAACTCAGGCCCTTGCGCTTGCCAGACAAGCGCTTATTCTACTGAGCCGTCTCCCCCACCCCTAAGAAAATGTATTTGAGAGGAAGCTCTGGGATGAAATAAGGAGGGTGAGCAAGGAAAAACCTAATACATAGATATATCTAAACAAATTGACTAAGCAAAGCAATTAGATCTAAAAATGTTTAATTTGTGAGATTAAAAACAAGAAGTTGGTGTGTCATTCCCTGCCTGTTTCAAAACCACTGAGATAATCACCTTTAGTTTTCATGTTCTCTTCTAGTTTGTTTTTTTTTCTGATGACCACTGTCTATTGTGCAGGCATGTAGTGTGGGGCACTCTCCTGAGCACTTCCCATGCATTATCTTCACAGAAACTTCCTAAAAGTAGTTCTAGTTCAGTATTCCATAAGAAATTATAAGTGAGGACCTGGGCAAATTGTGTGACTAGACCAGAGTTCTCCTGCTGGTAAATAGCAGTCAGAATTTGAACCTGTATCCACATGTGTCTGAGGCCTTTTACTTTTCTACATCATGCTATCTTCTATTGATAGACATGGTCTTGTCATGTAAAGTATCTGTTTTCTCGTAGGTTGGGAGCTTCTGTGTCTGGGATAAAGATTTTTGAATTTCTTACACATATAAAGATGCTAACCTATTAAGATAGTTCTGTTTCTATATTTGACCTAAGATCTTCAGTGTTATTTCCTTTGTGGGTGTGTTTTCCCTCTTTGATTTGTTCGTTGCCATTATCTGCTGTGCTAATTATGCTTTCTTCTAGGGCTGTGTGTAAGAAGTTTGGGCTGCATGTGAGTCGAATGATGTTAGCCTTCTTGGTGCTCAGCACGGGGATGTTCTGTTCATCATCCGGTAAGGAGAAGGGCGAGTGGCGGGAGTAGCAGGCTCACCCTTGGTTTGCAGTTATAGTGAAGGGAAATGCTTCTCCAGTTGTCTACAGAATTTATATAGCATGTCAGTAATTCGCAGAGCACTGTTAACTACATTTTCATTATTGATTTTTGCAATAATTATACGGTATAAGACAGTTTCTGATTTTTTCAGGTGAGAACACTGAAACTTAGAAAGATGAAATAACTTCCTAAAAGTCAAATTCATAACTGGTAGAACTGATAGGTGTTTTCTGCTATATTCCTGTGTCAACCACCCATTTCTCTTCTTGGCCATTAGAGGAAAGAATGTAATTTTAAGGATGTTCTTTGTGCCAAAAATACACTTGACAGATCTGCTTTATATACACTATATGACACATACTTTGTGGAGGTCTGTGTGTTGTGTTGGATTTTTTTTTTTTTTACAGTAAGCTTAAAATTTAGAATACTTAGTTGATGGCTTTCAAACTGTGCTGCGATGGAATATTTGTGCTCTGTGGGCTGAGCGAGGGTAATCTGCTACAAAGTAGTCTGTTCCCAACTCCAGAAAAATTATTAGATATTGTCTTAATTGTAGCTTTTGTGTTCCAGAACCCAATATATTGTATATACTGACCATATACTAAAATAGTAGTTGGCACACAATTATGTTTACTTTTTCTTTATTGATTATACTAATATTAATATTCTGGTGTGAGCTCAGGGCTCTGGCCTGGAATAACTTTGAGATCCACTGTCCTAAGGATATCCTGTGCTTTACTAAACCTCAAAGCTGGCAGAAACTTCACAGACCTCAGTTTTTCTGTCCTCTGCACTGGCAGCTAGGATTGACAGCTTTGGATGGCATCAGCATTACTTAGCGCAGTGATGGTAGACCTATGTGGCGCACATTCTGCAGCCAGCTGTTTGCTGTCATTGAAGGCTTTAAAAAGCTCATCGTTAACTTAACATACAGTGGTACTTCAGTTTGTGAACTCAATTTGTTCCACAGTTATGGAAAAGATGGCCACATTTTTATGGGAAAGATGGCCGCAGATGTATGGGAAAGATGGCTGCGGTTGTGTTTGTCACCTGATGCAGTTTGCAAACCAAACCAAAGTTTTGACAAAGCTTCTGTTTGTGAATCAAGTTTGCAAACAAAAGTTTGTGAAGTGAGATATCCTGAAAAGCCCCTGGGTGTATCTTTATCTTTGTAATATTAGTTGAAGCACAGATAAGTTCAAGGCATATTTTGATATAGAGCCTCTGAACCCTTTGCTGAGTTTCTTAAATTGCACTACCTACTCATTATAGTTCTCTTGGAGTTGACTGATTTTTTTTCCTGGTGCTAGAGGAATCAGGCCTCTGCAGCAGGAGAGGCAGGTCTGTATGTATGTTCCAAGTTAATTGAAATACTTTGATTATTGGTTCTGCAAATACTGAATTTGCTCAGTCCTCTGCTGGACACAAGGTTTTGATAAATTTAATAATTAGGGGCCATGTAGAGGCCAGAGAATCTATGTCAGTGCTTGGAGGGTGCAAAGTGGTGCTGTAGCGCAGTATCCAGCCCTTGAGCAGGCTTCCCAGAATTCCTGTGGGGTACCCTCAGAAGAACATCAGAATCTGTTTTTCAGAAATAAATTATCAGCAATGGTTCTAAGTTTTTTGAAGCATAGTCCCTGCTTGGTTATAAAACCTTGGGGTATTCTTGGGTAAATTGGAATTTTTAAAGTTTTGAATTTGAGGGACAGGCTTGGAAAGGAATGGCATAGCTAATATTGTGAAACTGAGGCCATGTGATGGTACCTAAAAAACAGAGTGAGAAAATAAAATCTATGAAGTTACTATTTTTTTTAAAATGAGTATCCCTTTGCTGGCTATTTCTAATAAAGCCCAAGATATGAGTGGCTATTGACATTTTGCAGCACTAGTTAAGCTTTTAATAATTGATACAGCTGGAATCTCTTGTACCCCTTCCCTTTTTATTTTTTCTTTTTCTTCTTTCTTCTTGCAGCCTTCCTTCCCAGTAGCTTCTGTATGTACACTACGCTGATAGCCATGACTGGCTGGTATATGGACAAGACTCCCATCGCTGTGCTGGGCATAGCAGCTGGGGCTCTCTTAGGCTGGCCTTTCAGTGCAGCTCTTGGGTAAGAAACTAACATGGCTCATCTTCCATGTATCATAAGCCTAGGACAGATATTAATGTTGGACTAGATACATGTTACCAGCTAACACTAAAGTTAGAGAAATTAATTGGACCAACAAAGATTCTGGGAAACGAAGGCCTATTTTTCTTAGTGTTTATTAGTATGATTAATTCTAATAATAGTGACTGTTCCTCTTCTGCTATATATTAGAAGCTGCTAAATCCTTTACAAACTTCTAAACCTTACAAGAACTCTAAGAGAATCATAATCATTATGCTTTATAAATGAGAAAGTAGATGAAGAGATTAAGTAATTTGTCTTGAAAATTATGCTTGTGCTGGGCGTGGTGGCACATGCCTGTAATCTTCTACATAGAGTTCGAGGCCAGCCTGAACTACATAGCAAGACCCTGTCTCCAAAAGAAGAAATAAAATTAGGCTTGCTTTTTTTTTTTTTTTTTTTTTTTTTTAATTTTTAAAGTCTTCAAGACAGAGTTCCATTATGTAGTTACAGGCTGGCCTTGAGCTCATTTTATAGCCCAGGCTGGCCTCAAACTCGAACTCACAGTGGTCCTCCTACGTCAGCCTCCCAAGTGTTGTGATTATAGGTGTGGGCCACCATGAGCATCTTGATAGCTTGCTTTTATTCTCGTCCTTTCTAATGCCACAGCTGATGTTTTCCCTGTACTGCTTCATCCTGTGCTGTGCATTTCTTCTGTTCCTCATCCTTGAAATTTGAGTTTGCTTCAGTTTCTTTCTCACCCATGTCAGTTTTTTTTCAGAATTCAATTGTTTGTCATTCCTTTTGTATTCTTGCTTCCACCACTTATGTACTAATTTGTACTTAACTTCGTGACTGTGCTAGTAATTTAAAAATATTTTAGTTTAATATTATGTTTATTATAGAAGTATTATTTCTTTATTATAAAAAAAAGTATTAGGGACTTGGGAGTGTAGCTTAGTGGTAGAGCACTTGCCTAGTAGGTACAAGGCCCTAGGTATCATCCCCAGCACCACAAACAAGTATCAGATTTTACAAGATTAAAATCATTCTTTGCTGGGCATACAGCTTAGTGGTAGGTTTACCTGGGTTCCATTCTTAGCATAGCTAAAAACAAAAAACTAATTTTGGATCGTTTGTTTACTTTGGATTGAAGCCAGGGCATTCCCATGGAGCTACATTTACAGCCCTTTTTATTTTTTTCTTTGGAGAGCTTGTTCAGAGGTCTAGCAGGGGCACACAGCTACTCTATACCTCTGACTGAGGAGCAGGTCTTCTCAGTTGGAGGTGGTCATCCTCGTCGACAGGATGTGCGCTTGAGGAGGGACGCACATGGAGTGTTGCAGGGGGAAGCGGACACCTGCCTAGGCAGCCAGCTCAGCCGAGTCAACCCTGCCTATCAGTGGGGTGGCAGATGTTGCAGCCAGATTGCACTTACATCCTTGATTTTTTTATTTTGAGACAGAGTCTCACTAAGTCATTAATTGCCCCGGATGCACTTGAACTTGTGATCCTCCTGCCTCCGCCTTCCAGAGTGTTGCAGTTACAGGTGTGACCACACAAAAACCTAATTTTCTTCACCTCAAACCCAATCCTCAAAGATAGTCACTGCTAATAATTCTGTATATATGTTCCCAGAAATTATATATACAAATACATATACATACATAATTGTGTATTCTTTCTTATTATTTTATTATGTGTTTGGTACAGGGCGTTTCTACGCAGCTCAGACTCGTAGTGATCCTCCTGTTTTCAGGCTCCCAGTGCCGGGATTATAGATGTGCACCACCATACCCGGTCTTGTGGCTCAGCCCCCCCAGGGGCAGGGCTGGTGCATAATTGTGTATTCTTAAAACAAATAGAATTGTCCTGTAGATATATTTATCTTCTGTTGTACATAGATTATATCATGCTGTACAACAGTTGTGTAGCATTACAATATATCCCGACCATAACTTAGCCATTACTTTATTGGTAGACATTTAGTTTCCAGTTTGTTGCTCTTATACACAATGCTTCAGTGAACATTTCCTTTTCATGCATACATTTGGAAATTTATGGGGATCAAAAGTGTTAGGTTTCTCAGGACCTTGTACTTACTAGGCAGGCACTTAGGCCTATGAGCTATACCCCTGGCCATTTTTAGAAGTTTACTATGGGGTAATTTTTTACAAATAGTTATGTCAGAGAACAGACCATTTTAAATTTTCTTAATTTCTTTTTCCAGTCTAGTTTCCCACATCAAATCCTTTTTTCTTTTTTTCTTTTTTTTTTTTTTTTTTTTGCTCCTCCTCGAATGCTTTCAGGGCACTTTTGGCTGGCTGCAGGGTTGTGGGGATCAACTACAACCACCTGTGGCTGACAGCTTTGTGGAAGCAGCCACTTAAAGAACTGAGCTAGGGCCAGGCCCCCTCAAATCCTTTTTTCTATTCTACATACTATCTCCAAATTGTTCCTCAACATACTTTAGCTGTTTTCTGTACTTCTGTTTTTCAGTCACCTTTGTATTTCCTATGTCAATACATGTAAAATACTTTTATTTTCATGCTGGAGACTAAATCCAGGGGATACAGAGTTACCTCTCTAATTTTATATTTCAATTATTTATTTTTGTCTTTTTATTAATGTATTTGGGTACAGGGTCCCACTACACAGCTTGAACTCCTAGTGATCCTCCTTTTTTCAGCCTCCCCAGTGCTTGGATTATAGGTACGTGCCACCACACCTGGTGTCAGTGGCCAACTTGGCGCGCCTGGGGATGGGGCCGATGTGGCATGTGGTGTAGGGGATCAAACTCCTGTCTCTGTGCTTGCCTAAGCAGGCACTTAGTCCCCTGAGCTATCTCACTGGCTCTTAGTTTTGTCTTTTTGAGACAGGGTCTTGCTATGCAGTTCAGGCTGGCCTTGAACTCATAGTGATCCTCTTGCCACAGCCCCCTGAGTCATAAGATTACTGACATATGTGCCATCATGCCCAGCTGAAAACCTGATGATTGTCAGTTTATTCCTACTACCTATTAGCTATCTCCTGAACTCATTGTATTTTTCCATATTTGTTTCTTTACCTACGATTCTATGCCAGCAAATGGTGTCACTGTCTACTCAATACTGTACTGCAAACCTGAAAATAATTTTTTCTCTTTTACACATTGTATTAATTTATTATATCTTCTAAATGTCTCTTAATCTATGTTTCTTTATCTTTTCTCTGCTCCTGGATTACTATATAGCCCTCTAATCTCCACATCTTCAGTCTACTCCCTGTAAATCTACTTTCCACTCTTGAACTGTAGTGGAGTTCTGCTCCTAAAATGCAGCTGTTGTGTCTCATTTATTTTTCACTTGTTGCTGGGACAAATACCCAATACTCAAAATGAAGGAAGGAAAGGTTTATTTAGTTCAGTTAGTGGAGGTTTCGGTCTATACTTGGCTATCTCCCAGGCCCATGGCAGAGAACAGCAGTTCATGGCAGCAGACAACAGTGCAGAGCAAAGGGAAGGGTAGCAAAGGAAGGGCAGCAGCCGCGGCTTCTAGGCAGCCTCTCTCCCCTCCGTCTGTTATAAGCTATCCTGGGGGTGGGAGTATGGCACTGGCACACTGTCCCCACCTTCCTCACCCTCCTCTTGCTCAGGTGAGGGTGTTTACAAACTAAGAATCCTGGCGCCCTGCTGAGTCACTTAAACTTCTGAACTTCTCAGGTTGATAGAATGTGTCATCCAGTATGGTGTGGTCATCCATTTCCCTGTTTTGACCTAGAATAGCTAGGTTTTCATTGCTCGGTGTCATAAGGGTTGGTAAGCTTGCCAGTGGACTAAGTCCAACTGTCCTGTTTTTATACAACCTGAGAATAGTTTTTACTTTTTAAAGAAGTTGTTGAAAAACAATACACCTATACAGAAGAATATTCAATACAGGCTATATATGGCCTGCCAAGTCTAACATGAATAATGAATGTCAGGTCATTTGAATAAAGAGTTTGTCCTGTGATGTCCAAAGCCTAGGCTGACTCCAAAGCTCTGCATGGTCTTCCCAGCTTTTACTTTCTCTTTTTTCTCAGTTTCTCAAATACCTATGACTGGCGCATTTTGATCCCTTTGTGTTCATTTGTTAAATACTTTCTTCGAGGTATTGCTGATATTGTATTAGACAGTCATGTTTCTTCCTTTTTTGGAGCTTGCATTTTGGTAAAAAAGACAAACATGGAATAAGTAATTAGTAATGTGATGACATAAGCAGACTTCAGAGGCCACAGCAGGGTTATCTCAAGTTTAAGTCCAGCCTGGGCAATTTAGTAGGATCTTGTCTAAGTGCAAATCAAATGAAACCAAACAACACTAAAAAAGGGCTGAGGATATATATAGCTCAGAGCAAAGGCTCTGAATGCAGTTCCCACCTCTACCCCCTCAAAAACAAACCGGTTATCAAAGAAGAAATAAAGGTGCTATGAAAATGTAGCTAGGAGGGAGAAAAGTAAAACAAAATGTGAATAAATAATTTACACAATAGAGTGTGGAAATTCAAGTCATAAGGAGATATCCAGTGACGACACATGACATTGTCAAATAAATGATGGAGATGAGAATGCCATACAAATTGTGAAGTGGGAGAAATTGGTTCTGTAGAGATATCACGGGAGTGACAAGAAGAGGCAGTGCATTTGACATTTGAGTAGATTGTCTGTAGATATGTTGGTGTGGGGAGAGAATTCTTTGTGACTAGAACATGGATAGAGGCCTCTGAGTGCCTTTGATTTGCGGAAGTTGTAAGTAGAAGGTGATTGTTCATCAACAACAGTGGAAGCATCAGCAAAGATGGTGAGTGTAGTTGTTTTGGCAGGATGTCATGGTGAGGGGGTAAGGGAAAAAAATCAAGGCAGTGTAGAAATGAGCTTTCTTCCTCACTTAAGCTTGAGGGAGAAAGAGGGAAGTGAGGAGAACACATAATGCCACTTGTTTGAGGGATGTATATAAAAAGAAGAAAAAGGCATTGGAAGGAAGTAGGTAACAAAGTCAAGAGTTTAATATAAGACTAGGTGTGGTGGCACGTGCATGCCTGTAATCCCAGCTCTTGGGAGGATGTAAACAGGTGGATCACTGAGACCGATCTAGTAGTGAGACCCTGAACACCGTGTAGACCCTTCCCTAAAAAAAAAAAAAAAAAAAAAAAAAAGTTTGTAGTATATTACTGAAATCCTATAAATCTTGGAAAAGAGAGCTCAGTGTTGTTTGATGTGGTAGGTGTCACATTCGGAGTGCATTTATATATAATTAATATATTTTAAATGTCCATTGCACAAAATATGTATAAAATGGAGTTTGTTCCAGCAGCTCCATGTTTATATTTCTTGTGCAAATGTGGATTATATAGCTTTCTGATGGGTCTTGTGATTTGTTTTCTTTTTGAGACAGGGTCTCTCCCTATGCATTTCAGGCTGGCCTTGAGCTCATTTTGTAGCCCAGGCTGGTCTCAAACTTGCAATGATCCTTCTGCCTCAGCCTCCTGAGTGCTGGGATTACAGGTGTATGACACCGTGCCTGGCTTTTGTGATGATTTTTGATCAATTTTTGAACAATATTCTCTCATCTACTGGCTTTCCTATCTCTCTGTCACAGGTGGAGATATTTTATTATCAGCATAGGAAAAGGATGTGTGAATTTGACTCATTTCTAAATATTTTACTTACCTCCCCACTTTTTCTCTGTTAAATAGCTTACCCATTGCCTTTGATTTGCTGGTCATGAAACATAGGTGGAAGAGTTTCTTTCATTGGTCACTGGTAGCCCTAATTCTCTTTCTGGTGAGTTTTCTTGCTTGTTTTGTTCTCATATTGTAATGAAAGCCATTTCTGATGTGCAAAAATGAAACATTAGGAGTTCATTTTGTTTTATATTCTCAGATTTGTCCATTAGCATTTTGAGAATGTTTCGAGAGAAAAGCATTATAATTGCTGTGTGTTTTCTATTCTGTTTTAGGTGCCTGTAGTGGTCATTGACAGTTACTATTATGGGAAGTTGGTAATTGCACCACTCAACATTCTTTTGTATAATGTCTTCACTTCTCATGGACCTGACCTTTATGGTAAGTCTTTACAAATTTTATGAAGAGTTAGAAATTAGCTTAATTTACTTGAGTTTCATAATTTTAATTTAGTTACCCAGTTTTATTGCATAAAGCATTTCTTTGCTGATGCTTTTCTTTTCCTACCTAAAAAATAGGATGATACTAAAATATAGCACAGACATGGACATTTTCATGTGAACAGTTCTTCTTGATTAATGTGACACTCAGGTGCTGGCTCTGTGTTTCTCCTGCTGTTATTATCTGTTTCAAAGTTGGAGTTGAGCATGCCATGTGTTTTGATGCTGTTCTTTTTTTTTTTTCTCATGTATTTGATTGTTGGAGGGTCTCACTATGCAGCTCCCAGACTTGTGGTGATCCTCCTGCTTTCAGCCTCCCCAGTGCTGGGATTACAGGTGCGCACCACTAGGCCCGGACTGTGTGGGCAGCTCAGCCCACCCTGGGGGTGGGGCTGGTATGGCATGTGGTGCTGAGGATCAAACATCAGTCCCTGCACTTGCCTAAGTATGCGTAAGCAGGCGCTTAAGTCCACTGAGTTATCTTGCTGGCCCCCTTTTTTTCCTCTTAATTAAAAGTTTTTTCTCTTTTGACTAGAAAAGTAATATGGTAGCATACTGAAAATAAAAATGTAAGTATCATTTCCATGCAGCTATTTTTTTATAACAAATTATTTTTATTTTT